GAACACGAGCTTATTTCAAACAAACTAAATTTTAAATGAACTGAACACGAACACATGCTTTTTTCGTTCGTGTTCGGTTCGTTTACACCCCTACTCGGGATGTCACGTTAAGCTCATTAGCGAACGAGGCCTACTTTAAATGACGATTACGCCCTCTCCGCCCCACCCATCGACTTGCAAAATCCGTATTATTCTTTTCCTCGCTCTGTGTCGCAGGCGACCCTCGCTGCCATATCTCAGAACTCAGATTCAACGCCAGGCGCTTCACGTCCTCGACGCTTCTCTCTTTTGTTGAAATCGCTGGTAAAATCGGGCTAAATCCCAACTCATTTCAGGAATCAAGAATCTCCGATTAGCCCTACGTTTTTCCGGCACTCTTCTTTCAGGTTTTGTTTGTGTTTGATTGTTTAGTCTATTTGGAAATAGAATTGATCAGAGCCCCGCATGGGCGGAGCCATTCTTTATGTGAGCTGATCTTCTTTCAGTGCATGTGAAAAACCTCCTCCTTTGGCTTCCGCATGAGGTTGGTTAATTTTTAGGGCTTTTGAAATGGGAAGTACTGGAGAGCCGGACAGGAAGCGGCGTCACTTCAGTTCCATCTCGCCTACGGCTGGTGCTGCGGCTAAGAAGCACCTGCTGTCCCCCTGCACGGATGATAAGAAGGTACTGTTTCGCTGTTTTTCGTTCTGTTATTGGTTAATTGGGCGTGTTAGGTTTAATTTGTTGTTCGGTTAGAGTAACGTTTTCATCCTTGTGAATGGATGGGATTTCATTATTAGAAGGTGTTATATTGAAGTGATCTTGTAACCCTGGTGTGATTTATCTAATCTTTTTTTTTTTTCTTTTTGATTTCGTCGAACCCGATGTGTACTTCTTTTCCTAGTTGTAAGAGAAGTTGGTCTGGGGTAACGATGCTTCCTAATTCTTATTAATATTGCAACTCTCCCCAATTGGTAGGGTAAATAGATTTGGCATGCATAACTTATGATGTCTGGCCTGGTAATATTTGGCATTGAAATGGAAGCAAATGTTTTTGCTTTTTAAGTGGTTTGCATTAGCTCGATGCATGATAGCTTTAGGTGAGTATATTAAGTTCTTTAATATATTGGCGTGCATTGGATCGCTCTGAGAAAACAGTGTGTGGGAAATTCATAGCAGCATTAGTCCTGGCAAGACATGCGCATGCATGCTGGTGATTATTTGGTCACTAGTGCCATCACATTCTTTTTGAAGATATTTATGGTCATTCCATCTACTTCAATTGTTTCTTTAAAGGAAAATGATATGTTACTGAATTTCCAGTCATGCATAGCAGATAAAAGCAAAGTGTGGTTGAAGGTTACAAAATTATCTCCTGAAATCTATTTTTCTTTAGTGGTTTGGACAATTTTTCATGTTTCAAAGCACAAGAAGATGTTTGTTTCTTTTCTTGAGTATTGAAATCATTTCTTGCTACCAATCTAGTTATTTCATAAATGTTCCACAGATTTTGAGTTTGACTGTCCTATTTATTTGGGAATCTATTTTTTATCATTAATAGGAAATTCAACTATATTGCTAAGAGTGTTAATTTATTTCAGGTTTTGAGAGCTCTAAGTCACACGATGCTGAAGACTTAACTTTGAAATTCTTTTTGCTATGTTGATTCTTTTATTTGTGAATGTGCTATTCTTAGTTGTTTTAATCCTGCTTTTTTGCATGTGGTCAACTTTGCAATTGCACGTGCTCACATGCTTCTTAATTTGTATTATCATTTTTTTTGTTGCTTGTATGATTGTAATAATTGATCAATTTGAACTTTAAAAGTATAAAGACAATGTAAATTTCCTTTGCTAGAATAAGTTAGGGGCATTTTTGTCTTTAACTGAGCCTATTTGTAAAAACAATTAGTTTCGTCTTTATTTGGAATTTTGAGCTATATATGAACTGCTTGAACATATTAAAAATGCTTTTCTTTATTTCTTCTTGTCATCTTGAACCATTTGTCATCATAGTATAAGCTTGAAAATTACATTTGTTAACGATGGTTGATTTTTCTTTCCCCCATTTAATAGTTAGAGTAATCTATTGTGTGTTTAATAGTAAAAAAGTAAAAAAGTTAAGATTTTAAGTTTCTATATCTAATATTACTCTAATGGTCGTAAGTTTAATGAAATGCCCAAGTTCCAAAAAAGGGAAATATGTTATGGTATCAAAATTTTACAATTTGTATTGTCTTGGAGGTGTCATGCTTAATGAAATGACTAAGGGGTGATATGGAATGAGAGAATAATCGGGGGACTTTGTCATCATTACTAATTTTATCTCAACTATTTGGGGTTGACTTTATAAATTTTCATTTTCTTATTTGTTCTTGTTGAATGTTACTTTGGGTGTTAAGCCTATTCATCGTAAATCATTTTGAACAATTTTTATTCATGTTATCTTAGGTCTACTTCTCCGAAATCCTCTAATATCAATTTTATCTAATTGTCTAATTTATAGTCTAATTTTATCATTCATTTTGCAAGTCCAAATTGCTTGACTTTATTTTCAATACCCTACATTTAATACAATTATTCATTAATTTATTCTTCTTGGCTTTGCGATGCAATCATTGTAACCTTCCCATTTATATTATGCTCAGCTTAGATATCAATTTCTTTTTTATTACTAATTCTTAGATCCATAAAATATTATCAGATTAAGTGTAATTTTTTAAACTTTATATCTTAATTTGTGTGAGATATTTTTTTTTATTACTTTTGATGCACACCAGAAAATCTTATCATCTATATTTTAGATCCTTAAAATTTAAACCTTGCACCTGTCGGTATTACTTCAATGGTGTAGGTATATTGATTGATAATTGGTAACATTGCATCCTCTAAATTTCATTTCATTATTAAGTTTCTTTACTAATTCTAAGCTCTCTTTTCTCTAAATATTTGTTCTATTTTCTTAATTTTCTCTGATTTTAGTGAATGTCTTACTAAGTAGAAATATGCTCTCTGTAAAAACAATATACCAAGGCACCCAATTTAAGTATTTAAGCATTTCTAGAACCAATACAAAAAATTAACTCCTTGCTGACCCTTGATGTAATTTTACTATGATAAATCTTTGGTGCCTCCATTACTACTAATATTACTCAATACTTCATTATATGCATTGTTAAAACATCTACATGACACACCTTTTTGCCTTAATACATGCCAAAGCAGCGCTTGTAGTGCTCAATTATACTATGAAGATCTTTTCCATGCCATCTAAAGTTTTTTATTTTTTTGTCTTAATGTAAAAATCACTTTCGTAACTCATTTTATTTATATGAAACCAAATTAATTTTTTGTAATTGATATAAATTTTTAATCCTATGTTCCATTAATTTGTTTTTTGAAAGTATTATAGTACAGATTGAAGGTTGCGGAATAAGGCTGAGATTTTTATTTTTTGTATCTGGTAGTCTGCGTTTTTTTTTTCTTTTTGAGTTACAGTATGAGTTTGCTGCAGAAGCTAATTCTGCATGGTCGATGTTTAGTAAATTTTTTTGTATATTTTAACATGATACTTTTCTTTTTGTATGTTGGCTGTGATATTGCATTATAAAAACTAGCTCGTATTGGGATGTTTCTTGACCATCATTTTGAATAATCTTGTTGCTACCTGTACTAAGACCTTGTTTTCAGTTCCCAAACAACTACAATACATGTTAAATGGTTGTACTGTTCCCTTAAATAAGCCCTTAAATATTTTGTGGCAGTTTCTAGTGGCATTAAATGATATTTGTTATACTGTTTTTTTAAGAACCTGTCTCTGGCGATCCTAATCAGAGTAATCTGATTCCCAGTCATATGCTAATACATTAACTTTTCTGTTTACTATTCTTGTAGCTTGATGTTGCTGTTCTTCAATTTCAAAATCAGAAGCTTTTTCAGCAGCTGGAAGCTCAAAAAGTTGAGTACTTTGTTCTTGATGACAAGTACAATATGCTGAAAAAGCAGCATCAGATTTATGAAGATTCAATAGTAGTAGTTAATAAATCTTGGGAACAGGTAAATGACCACCTTTATTTATTCATCGCTGTTCTACTTCATATTCTTATGTCTGAGTTAAAGATGTCTCATGTTTCAACAGCTGGTTAATGATTTGGAATTGCACTCCATTTGCACAAGTGAATCTGCAAGTTCTAAACATTATTTGCAAGATTCCTGCATGTTGGAAGGTATGGTTTGTGAATTTAACTGGTATGCATGCTTGAAAAGGTTGCCTTATGATGAACTTAAATTTGCTTTTTGTCATTGTTTTGCATTAGAAATCTATTTGCTAGATTTTTTACTCCGCATAGCTGCCATCTCCTAACCAGGCTTGTAATTTATGAACTTGCTTGACTATCTGTTCCTTTTTTTCTGCAAATTGTTTGATATATATATATTCTTGCATGAGTGTCATATGTACACCTTCACTTGTTTGGGGAGCTGATTTGCCGCTAAACTAATATTTCTTACCCTTGTCATTTGATATTTCCCATCCATCTCAATTTATTCTATTTCTGGGCTAGAAATAATTTTACGCTTATAGCATATTTTAATTTCTCATTCAGATGGAGCATCCTTCCCCATACAGGATGATTTCTTGAGCAGACTATTGGAAGCTGATCCAACAGAAAGTTGCTCATATAATGTGTTTGAGGATCCACAGGATTGTGCACAAATGGCAAGTGAAATGACAAAATCTATATTGCAGAATATAATATCTTCTATTAATTGGATGTGGCATCTAATTGATGATGTTGCTTCTGCACTTCAAGCTACTGTTTTGGAAAATGGTATGGCTTTTGCTATTATCTTTTCTGATTGATTATAAATTTGTACTTCAGCTTACTGTATGTGGTGCATAACATTTTAACCTTATTTTATTTTATGTATTCTAGATCCAGGATTGCAATTGCCAAAATCTGTTGATGCATTAAGGATTGAAACTAAGAACCTGATAATGGCAGTAAATGACTTGCATTGGAAGCATAGACACTTAGCAAGTCAGATCCAAAACAATAGAAACGTGGATGCCAAATTTAAAGCAGAAAAGAAACGTTTAGAAGGTATCTATTTGAATGATACGAATGTATCATCTTAAGCCCTTAAGCTCCACCAAGTTAGTATAAATGTATTTGCTGAATTTCAAACAGTTACACTTGCAAAAATGTGTAGGTGCATTAGCCAGTACTGTCTTAGAATTGAAAGACAGTAACTCAAAATTGGCCAATCTTAAGGCACAAGGAGATGGATCAAAAGGTGCACCAATTATTTTTCCAATTTTAGGAAATAAAGTAGCTAGTGGAGACACGGCCAGAGATACAAACAAAGAAATGCATGACATGGAGTCTTTACATAAGGAATTACAAGTATGCTTTATGATGTATATTATGTTATGGAGCTTTGCTCATTTTCATGATGTGATTTGAGCTCTTTTACAGGATTTAGTTTCAAGTAAGATGGGCGAAATCAGAAATCTATATGAGTCAAGAATAGAAATGTTAAGGAAGCTGGTGAATTTGCAGGTTTGTTTTGTTAAAATCAATATTAAGGAAGCTCATTTACTGGTTCATTATTCATCTACATTTACTAGATGCATATCTGTTCAATATTTTCATATGTACTTTAGTTTAAATATCTGATGATTCATTTGTAAAGTGGACCATCAGAACGCTTTGTTGGATTTCAAGAGTATCTCTTCTTCCAAATTTTTTGTGATGCTTAAAGAACAACTGGATAAATCAACAGCAGAAATGGATAACGCTCGAATTTCTTTGGAGAAATTGCAGGTGGTAACTGGTCGGTAGATACATGTAGCCTGCATGTATGTCTCATTTGTGTGGTTATCTCTTGTTATGCTAAGTTTTGCTTCCAATCTTTTATGATAGGTAGAAAGGGAAAATTTCATTTGGCATGAAAGGGAAGTTACAATGAAAAGTGATTTAGCTGATGTAACTGGAAAGATTTCTGAATTGTCAGAATTGCGAATAGCTGAATTAGAACAAGAGTCACAGAATAATATTAAAGCTCAGAATCTATTGGAAGCAAAGCTTGAAGAGGCTTTGAGAGAACCTGGTGCATATTCATATACATTTTGCATTCTATTTGTTATAGCCTTCCAGTTTTTTTTTTTTATCATGTTATTATTAGTGGCTGTATTCTGCTTCTTTGGTTCAGGCAGGAAAAATATCATTGCAGAGTTCAAAGAACTTGTATCCTCCTTTTCCAAAGAGATGGGAACTATGCAAAATGAACTTAGCAACTCAAAGGTGTCTACTTCTGAAATCCATCGTCTAAGGGCTCAAAAGCAGTCTTTGTCTGGCATATTAGGACGGGAGGTAATGTTTCCTGATAAAATACATCAGTTTCCTGTAAATTTAACAATTTGTTGGCCAAATCTAATTTCTTGCACAGGTTAGGGAGTTGCAGTCCTTGACTGATAAATCTGTTGGCCAGCTTTCTGAGATTGAAAGATTGCATTTGGTGGTATGATCTCTTCTATGATATATTGTTTTCATTAATGCCGACTAGATATTGTCTGCTGTTTTACTTTTTCTTTCACTTATTTTATAGAGGAACGTGCTCAACAAGTGCTACTTTACGAACTTTTGATTAATTAGCTGGTGATTCTTGTAATTGGTAGCAAGAACTTTGTAGCCGTCAGTTCTGGATGAAATTTTCTAAATAATTTGGCTTCCTGCAAGTTAACTGGAGAACTTATCAACGAAATTTTTTCAACTTGCAGGAGAGTTGCTTTTCTGTTCAGCAGCCATGCTCCTTATTTATATATATATATATAATATATTCCTCATCCTCATCATCACCAGCTTAATATAAATTTTTTGTGGTTTCCTTTTACCATTTTTTCTCTCTTCATTCTTGTTTAGAGCCACATCTGGTGATATTCTTTTTTTTTTGTCCACTTCTATTTTACGCACACATAAGATTTTTAGTTACTCGTTAATTCTAAGTTCTTGAGCTGGTCATCTTTTCATTGAAAAATAAAACATAGAATCAATTCTAGAATTATTGTTTTTATTATATATATGGAGCTTTAAAGTTGAATTTTGCTGTGTTTACTTTTCTAGACGGATCTTTATGTTAGCGCTTGAGACCTGGACTTTGTTGTGCTCATTTGTTGATACCGGTTCCATTTCTAGTCTGGTGCTCATCATTTACTAAAAGAAATGTAGTTGAATTTGGTAGTAAGAGAAATCACAGCTCTTCTTAGAAAAGGATATAAATCTCCAAGAAAAAAGGAGGATTTGATTCATACTCCGGTCAAGATAATCTTATCTTTACTCTTTATTCCACCAGTGACTTTGATTGTGATGCTAATACAAACGCTCAAGTGGAGCTATGGGTATCAAAGGTTATTTTGGCTGCCCATTCTTGGGTGTCTTGTTTTCCCTGGCACAATAAATCACTAAGAAAAGCTTTACAACTACTGTATGTTGATGAATTTTTTATTTTTTTTCTTTTTGTGTTTTTTTTTTCATGTTGAAGTGCTTAAGAAATCCCATACTACAACAACAATAACAACAAGAACAAGCCTTTATCCCACTAAGTGGGGCAGTGTGGGGCTGGCTGCTTGAATCCTTTTTCTCCATTGCATTCCAAATTACATGTTAAGTCTGCTTAGCAGAAACAGCTGCAATAATAAAAATGGAAGTCCCTTGATATTTTTAATTGAGTACATGTTTTGGCATTCTGATTGTGTGCTGAGATTTGACTATTTCCATATAATAAATTGTACCTTATGTATTTATTTTTTTGACTTTACCCATATTGGTTCTTTAGCTTGAATAAAGGTTTTTTATATCCCTCATACTCAGCAGCAAGAAGGAAAATATTGTAAAACTTTAATAAAAACAAGTTTAGTAAACCTCTTAGTTGGAAGCTGAAGTTGGATCCCTCTTTCTGCACCTTGTCAAGCTGCAGGAAGCAAAACTACCAATAAGGTGCGTGAAAGCACACTGGGAATCTACTAGTTGGTTTCAGCCTTTATTTTCAACATTATCTTGAGGTCTTGTGTACATTTTATATTTATCTGAGATATTAAGTGGCATTGACCCTTCACCATAAACTAATAAATCAATTATCTTTGAGTTTTTAATTAAGTAGGCCCTGTTTGATACTGTTCTCTCCCACCTTAGTTAAGTTGCTTCTAGAAGACTTTCAGGAATTACACGTTATAGCTGCCTGCATGATGACAGCTTCTCTGTGAGTTTACGTGCAAAGATCAGGACTTTTTTTGGTTCGATATTTGTCTTATTTTGTGGAACGAAAGCATGTCACAAAGAAAGTGGTCTTCCATTTTGGTGGGGAGAACAGATTCGTTTTTCCCTTTCCCTGAGTGTTATTTTTTGGCTGCAGAAATTTCTTGCTAGCATAAGCAGTTTTTCATATTTGCCTCTCTTTCAGCTTGGCGAAAAGTCAACTGTAAAAAAAATAAGAAAAAAAAGGATACTGTAGTACTAATTATTGAATAATAAATTTTAATTAATGTTAAATATGAACAACACTAATATATTTTTCTTCCTTTTCATCTTGATAGCTGTAAAAAAATATATATATATCAAATATATCCTAGAGTTCCATGAAATTTTTTTTAACATGATTTGTCTTCCCAAGAAGAAAATAATAAGATAATGCTTCCTACTAATTTTCTTCCACCAAGTTTCTTTAGATTTGCAAATAGTCTTACAATTGATTAGCTTCAAGCTTCTATCGTTACCTTTTCCTTCTGAAAGAAATTCTTCCTTGGTATTACCCAACTGGCAAGCCAAGGCTTGAAATATAATATAATGATTGAGAAGAAAATGCAGGTTTGATGAGAGTAAACCATTCACTTCTTCAAGTTTGAAAGATTGAAATGAATTTATCATCAATATTGATCCGCATGCCTTTGATTTCAAAGGGGCACATCAAGCTATTGACAAGAAGTTTGTCATAGAACAAACCATTTGGCCAATTTTACCGCGTTATCTTAAGCCAGTATCTTAGTAAATTAGGCTGGAATTAGATATATTAATTCGTGTTGACGGGACCTTACCTGAATATTTATATGGCTCAGAATATTTCACTCAAATTCGACTCGAGCAAAACCCAACCATACAAAGTAATTTTATCTAACTCATTTATCTTATTGATTAATCAGCTATTTTTGATGTATTAAATTGTTTAACCCAATTAACCCACCCAATCCTGTCTAACCTAAACTCAAATAGTGATCGTGTCAATTTTTGGTTTATTTAGGTGAACTCTAATTTGACTCGATTAATAAATATGTCTATTATCTAAATCTAAATCCAACTTGAATAATAATTAGTCAAACCGAACTTGAGTTTTTCAAGTCAGGTTTGATTTGGGCCATTTATTGACTCCTTATATGAATCTCCAAGTTATAGACACTTTTGAACAAGAGGACAATATCATAGAATGTAAGAAATCGAGAGGTGTTATCTCCGCAAAAAAACAAAAAAAATCAGCAGTATATTTGTTCTTTCAAATTTGGAGGCTTCTCTTACAAGCATCCTTTATTTATAAAGAGGATTTTATATTTAAGAAAAAAAAAAGGAAGAAAAGATATGTAAATCAACAAAGATTAATTTGGATATTTTACAATGACAAATTTTTTATGAAAAAATCTTTTGAGTAACACGTGATTAGACATTTATTACATATCAACTATGAAAGAATCTCTTATGTAACACTTGATTAGACATTTATTACATAATAAATACAAAGAAAATGGGTGTTGATGAGTTCAAATAAAATAGGTAATGACATGCCCATGTTGGATCAGTGATAAGGCATGGAAGTCAAGAAAAGAATGGGGCAATGAAAATGAAAGAGATAACAAAAAAGATTGATGAAGGGAATTCAAATCTAACACACATAGAGTTTTCCTCCTAATCCTTTGCACATAAAAAATATTTTTTCTTGAACAAAATATGGATGCTATGTAAAAAGCTTTCAAAACGTTCATCAGCTTCAAAATTTTTAAATTAATTTTTATACAGGAGTTTTGGTGCAATTGTGCCACCCTTAACACTTTAAACCACATATATAAGCCCCTTAAACATAAAACCACAAGTAAACTAAAGTAGTTCTGCATATTTTTCTTCAGGATAAAGACTTATTCATTAACATAAAGTATGAGAAAAAGAAAATATTCTTTAAACTTAACTAAAAACATTAAACCTAATGTTTAAAGAAAATTTAGTACTGCATTAACCCTCATCTTCAGTAGAGCTTAATTTATTAGGCTTTGGAGGCGGGCGTAATGCTCTAATTACAAAATCTTCAGAAATTTGGCATCAAGTAGCAACATTCAATAGAACGAAGGGATTGCCAACTTGTTTCATCAACAGAACCATGACTAAAAAGTTTGAAGACAGTGGAGCGTTGAACAAAGGTAGCACAAAACTATGATCTTAAGTGCTATAGGATGTAGATCTTCAACTATTGCAATCTTTTGTTCAACTTAGAAATTTGTGGTTGAAGTTGCAGAATTATAACTTTAACCTGTGGAACTTGCATTATTGCTTTTGTAACATATTAGGTTCTGATTCAACCATTGAAAAGTTGATCGGTGGAAATTATGTAACTTTAGTCTTGATCTATTTTCAGCTTAGAAGGGATAACATCACGTGTATCTGAAGGTGATTCATCATTATATTATTCTTCATATATTTATTTGTCTTTCGCTTTGAGGGAAACTAATACAAGAAGTGGCCTCCAAGGATTAACTAATATAATAAGTAAGTTCTTGTTTTACAAGAAATTTGCAAAGTTTTTATTGCCAAAAGGAGAAGAATGTAGGGTATCCATACAATCTTTGGTGTACTTTTTGGTTGAACTTATGTAGAGAAATGTTGTCAGAGATTAGTTTATGAGCATAGCTAAAACTTGGTTTCAAGAGCTAGGAGTATGATGGGGAGTAGGGTAAGAATGGTGAAGATTAGGGGTGTAAACAAGTCAAGTCAAGCTCGAGTCACCCTCGACTTGAGCTTGAGCTTGATTAATTTAATCGTGTTCGAGCTCGAGCTCGAGCTTAATTCTTTAAGAGATAACTAATAAGTAATCACTTGATAGAAAATGTAAAATATCAATTTTTTAACATTTTTAATAGTTTAAAGAAGTTAATTTGAATTTTAATATATTTTAAGTATATTTTTAATTGATTTTTTTTAAACGAGTCAGCTCGCGAGCTAAAGAGTCGAGTCGGGGCTGGCTTGAGCTTTAGCTTGTTAGCACTTCTAGTTTAGTTCAAGAGCCACTTATCTAGTCGAGCCCGAGCCGGCTCACGAGTCTGCTTGACTCACTCCCCTAGTGAAGATGATAAAGAATATTGAGGATGAAAAGGTTGTTAATAATCGGAATGGTAATAATCGGAGTGGTAGTGATGATAGTTCTAGAATCTTTAAGGTTTGTTGGATAAGTTAGGCTAAGCTATTTTCTAAAAATATTAAATTAATTTT